CAATTAAGTTAATTCAATGCAAAATTTAGTAAAATATGCAAATTTATGCAAAATATTAAATACTAATAACTATCACAAATTTTGTTAATAAACTATTATGTATTACCAAAATGTGTTGTACTGTATGTCTGCTCTCTTATCTCTCTCTCATTTTGGCGCCATTCTTGTTTCCATATAAGCTGGCAATAGTGTATTATATTAAATTATAATAAATATGACAAAAATAATGTGCCAGAGATCTGTCTATCGACCAAAAATTTTAAAATAACAATGTTAGATAATGAATTAGTCAGAAAGTATATTGAATTACAGTTTATTAAAATTAAACTATAATATTAATTCAGTCTTTTAAAACATTTATTTTGTGATAATAATAAAATATAAGTAAATTAGTTAAGCATTATATGAGACAAAACAAAATCTAAATTGTTAATATATTTCTGATTATTACTTATAATTATTATTACTTATTTTGTAATAATCATAAATATTTACTGCTATGTTACAATATGTAAATCAAATTAAAAAGTATAATTGTATTATTGTTATTTGAATAATTATTTTATTATTTTAGTTAACTAAGGCCTATTTAGTAAATATTTATTTTATTAATGTACTACTATTATAAATGCAACTTTTTATAAATGAATTAAAGGTAACTATTATATGTCACCAGATACTATTTCATATAACATTTCCAACTAGATGATAATTAAAAATTAAATTAATACACACTTACCAACAACACATAGGTAGCCGCTGTTTAACGGGTGCGTTCATGACCCCGGTGAACTTCTCAATAAGCCTCAAGTTACATTTTTGAAAATTTTTCAGTCCAGCATTTGCGCATGGTGCCGCAGATAATAATGACCTGGCCCTTTTATTTAATCGCCCAGTTTTGCAAATAGCCCGCAGTTCAATTCCCAGTGAGTGCATTAGCACCTTGGCCGAATCCCTACCAAATTTGTTCAGGCACTTATCATTATAAGCCGTAATCTGGTCAAATGTCTTAAGTGCATGGTTACAATATGGCCGTAATTGTCGCTCGTTAGTCGGAAATTTTAAATTCCTTTGACCTAGATCATTATTGTTAAAGATATTTAATTATAATTACCTGGGTATATTAATAAATAAAAATATGATTATTGACACTATTTCCAAAAATTATTTTTATGAATAATTATTTGTATAATTATAGCAGTATTGTGAAAATTACAGCTTTAATTAAGATTACATTAAATATAAATAAGTTTACCAAAAACTTAATTATAAGTTGCCATTAATTTCAAAATAAACTATCACATTTTTAAATTATTAATGAATGTTTTGTAATAACAAAATAGTTTAAATGGCCAAGATCTTAATAATATTATTTCCCTTTAGACTCACCTCCCAATTTAATTATACAAATTAAACCTTTGCTTATAAAATTAAGTAATTCAAAAATGGTTACAGTTTGTACATAATTAATTAGATATTATGTCCTTGCTCGTAAATGTAGCACTATTGTATTTAGAAAAATTAAACTTACCGACAACAATGAGCTTGGTAACAGCTTTATCCATTTCTCTGAGATTTTTATCGCTACATATAATATCGTCATCTCTTGCATTAGCAAGCTAAATTAAAAAACAATTTTTATAATTATTTTTTTAAAACACAAAAGGGTCATTTAATATATAAGTAAAATAATAACTAGATAAATAGATACCTCAAAATAAATACAAATTACAAATAACAATTTAACAAACATTTGATATATTATTAATTTTTAATAATAAAAACTAGTTTACTAATTTAAGTAGACACAGACTAAATATTTTGCTTTATTAAGCAAGTATAAATTTCTAAGTTTGAAGTTTCTAAAAGTACTTAAAACCCCTTATATAGTAAGTGCAAAAACTAAGTGAAAGTTATTTATTATTTTCCAGAATATGTTTTCATAGCACTTGTTATGAGGAGCCGGTAGTCTAATGGTATGCATACCTGAGCCATATGTATGAGTAGTTTTGGGAAAAACAAGTTTTATCTTTAAGTTTGAGAGAGAGAGAGAGAGAGAGAGAGAGGGAGAGAGAGAGAGATGAATATAATTACATAATGTATTTTAAAAAGTAAAGCTATTTATTGTACTGATACTAATATATTTTTAAATGTATATAACTCACTTAATTTTAAAAATTAATTATAGATATTTGTCCTACACCAATCTATTAAATATACATTTAATTGTACCTAAACTAGACATAAAACTAGAGTATTTTATTTAAACATGACAGATTTTATAATTTATTTTGCGCATTGGGTCAGTAGTTAATTGGTAGTGTCTGTACCACCAGTCTGTATGTCGTGATAAGTATCAAGCCTTGAATATAGCGATAAAATATGACTATTTTGGGAAAGGTGTACTTTTCAAAATTAATATTAAATTTAATTAATACTTTTTGTTTGCGATAAGAATTATTAAATTAAATTTTCGGAATTTTTAAAAATACTTTTCGTGTTTCAATGCAAATAGCCCCAGGAATTCAATGACCTTGATGAAAGTATTTTTTTATATAACAAAACTTTTTTAAAACTTATATTTTACCATTTGTTTATACAGTATGTTAACAATCATAATCTAAAAATATTTATATATTAATTGTGCTATGATAAATAAACATTAAAATAAATTTTAATAATGTATTAGTTATTGTACATTATAAATTACCGGGAGTTGACTGTATTCTATTAATATTTTATATTTTATGATAATAGTGTGTCAAAAATAGCAACTCATTTAACCTGGTGGTTATTGTACTCTAACACTATAAGTAAAAATATGTCAAAAATGTCAAATATTATTGACAGCAAATATGTGCAAAAAAATCATTCAACCAGGTCCGTGTCAAATTATAATGACCCTGATGCCAGTGCCCAAAAGTGTATTTAAGTATTTTTAATATCTGGGTTTTACTATATTTTATCGTATCTAATGTAATTTAAACCATGTTATTAAAATAAATTATATTTGCTATTATAAAACTTAACACCAATACATTATTAATACTATACAATTAAACTGTAATTTAAATTTCACAAAAAATATTGTTATGATAAATTAGTTTATGTAATTATTAACGGCTATTGAATGCAGTTTTTTATTAAAAATAAATATTTATTTTATATGTTAAACCTTTTATAATAACACTATTTTAAAATCATTGATCTCTATAATTAAAATTTATTACTTATGCACAATTTATTTTAAATGTTACTATTAAAATATTGAATACCTAGATGCAACTAACCTAGCAACGTGATTGACAAGTTCAGTTGCCGGATTTTTATATCAAGTTATTGACTTGCTTAATAAGATGTTGCATGATGTTTATAACCTTACATGTCAAATATTAAACTAAAATTATAAGGCGCAAACAATAATATGAGTTTGCTAAACATAAACATAGAAGTGACCTATGTCAATCACCTTGTCACTCACAATATAAATATGCAATAAATATTTTACAATCATTGCACCTGTCTTGCTGGATTAAAGAATATTTAAATAATTTTTTATAATCTTATAACTTATAACTTAAATGTTGATAATAAAGGTACCCGACAAAATAATGTAAATTTATTATAGAAAATATTGCGTATTTTTAAAACTAAAATTATACAATATAACAATAATTGCACCCTGTTTAAAAAATCTAAATTTTTAAGAATAATTATATAATTTTTATAAATAAAAGCAAAAATTAAATTATCATTGCGTAATTAACCCATTAATTTGTATAAGTTTTTTTTGGGAATATTATTCATAAGTTTTATAAAGATATTACAGCTTGCCCATATTATACAGTAAGTCATAAATTATGACTCATAAAGCAGTTAAAGATACCAGGTTTTTTACTGTTATATTTTCAATTGTAGCAGTTCACCAAGCTCATTTTGACGTATGCGCTCAGGTATGGTCGACCAAAATGATACTTGCACATGTTTCTTTAGGTTTCAGCCTACAGGGAGGTCTACGAGGGTTTTGATGTTAATTTCATCCAGGTGCTCCTTTGGGTCCGATGTCCGATAGCATGAGTTTGTTGCAAGGGCCGCATGAACCTGGTTAAATTATTTTAAAAATTAAAGTTGTGTGGGTAATTTCTTTCCATTTAATTAATAAACTAAATTGTCATTAGTATCAAAGTTATTATAAATTTGAAAGTACAGTTTTTGTATATAACTATTTGATAAATCATATAAAAAACACCTTGTTATTGTACTCAAATGTAATAAATATGCCAAAAATGTTGTAAAGTTTTATTAACATTAATTTATTGTCAGTAAATATCATTATGAATTCGGTCATCCAGGTTAATGTCAAATACTGTAATATTATCTATGTTGTTAAAGTTAAAATAAAAATCAACATAACCGCAAGGTCCACCAATTATCTCTTAAAATAAATATTTATTAGCATGGAAGTTATTATAATTTTTTAAAATACAGTTTTTTGTAAGTAACTATTTTTATATAAAATTATTTTGTAAAATATCTTGAAACATTAAAAGCTTATTTTAATTTAATGTATAAATAATATTATGAACAAGAACTTATTTTTAATTTAGATTTAATAAAAGTTTACGATTAAAAAATGTATGCACCTCATGTGTATATTTGTAATTAATTCATATTAAAATAACTTTTAATAAATATGCAACATGTTAAATTCAAAACCTAATTAATAATGCTGGCTGATTTATGATTAATTTTAAGAGATTAAAAAATGTAAAACACACGAGTAACTATATCCAAAATAATATTTTTATAATGACTTACAAATTTATTATTTAAAAACATTTCAGTTTAAAAGTCTATATTTTTATAACGTGTAAGCTAATTGATATTTAAAAAGAATATGTTACTTTTATACTAACACCTTTATAAAAACTATTAATTAATATAAAAACTTTATCATACAATATAATAATATCCAATTTATTTGATAATAATATTAATAATTATGCACTATTTTGCAGTTTACTAATTATTTAATTTATTATATTATAATATTATTTTTAAAATGTATCATATTTTGGTAAACTTTAGGCTAACTATATTAACTAACTATAACTATATTATATTAGTCCACACATTTAAATTATTGTTATAAACATAATTAAGTTTGTCATAGTATAATATTTTTTATTTTTAATCAAATATAATTATTTTAGGTTTACATTAGAAATAGCATTCAATAGATGCTTGAACATAGATTTAATTAATATATTATTAATAATTATATTCATTAGAATAATATCCGAAAATATTTTGAATGTTATAAATTTAATGAAAGTTATTTGTGTTTCAAATCGACCTGGCACACCACTTGCTTATCACTCGTACAGTCACTACTCATCCACTGACCAAATATGTGCTTGCTTATATCCACCTCCAGGTAACTACACGAACCCCACGGACTATACACGATGTCTCCGTCATACCAGGCACTGGACGCCCAGTTAGTATAGTTAGTTAGGATGCCGTCCACCCATTTATATTCACAATACTTTCCAGTCCACTCATACCCTAACCACACGTCCAGACTACCGGCGCCCTTTTGGTGTAGTATTGTGTTTACGAGTTGTTGCTCCTGTGCTGAGTGTATGGCCAGTAGCCCTCCCTTTGGGTGCAATTGTTTGCATAGTTTTGTGGCATCCGTTTGGTTGACACGAGTGGTCGACACGTAATAACACTTTTGGTCCGCAATTTTGGCATAAGAGTCGCCGTCGCATACGACCGACTCTATGCCTATTATGGCGTAAAAATAGGTATTATTTTTTGAATGAATGAATGAATGAGAGAGAGAGAGAGAGAGAGAGAGAGAGAGAGTTGTAACATTAAATAATAAAGTACAAATTTAATTAATAATTAATTAATTAAATAAATACAGATAAAATAATATAGTAAATGTAGCATGATGCATACTTTTATAGAAATTGATCTTTGTCTGTAATTCATCAAATTCTACGGATAAAACAGAATTTTAAATTTTAAAAATTACATAAAATAATTCAGAGTAATCAAGTCCTACCAACAACCCCGTGAGCATTAGCCACAATGACCAGGCTAATTGCCAACAACAGAAATTTAGACATAATATTATAATTTGTTATTTTGAAATATAAAATCCTATTGATTGTGTTATGGTTAGTCTTTAGGTTAGTCTGATGCTTATTTATACTTTTATTTTAGCATGATAAGATGTTACTTGGTTAATATCATTTAATTAAATATTTATATAGGTGCTACTCAATATTAATAACATAATATTGTATATTAAGCTAATTATCAATGTACTTAATTGCATATAAAATTATAACATTGGACAAAGTATAAATTATTTTTCATTATTAATATATTGCTACAAGTACATTATCAATATAATTTTGTTCTGATCAAAAACATTGATAATTAGTTCAAAATGCTTGTACCTTATTAAGTATCCTAGTACAATTAAGTTATCTTATAATTTTGTGTATTGCTAGCGAATTAAAATAAATACAAGTATTTCCAATCAATAAACCGCATCGAACAAATACTAATACTACCAAGTACATTTAATCTATTAGTGAAATCGAACAGATGCTTTATATTATTATAAAAAAAATTGAACTGACTGTAAAAATATTTTAATTTCTAATATTATATATCAAACAATTTTAAAGGTTTAATAATGGGACTGAAAATAATGTATTTATTTTCATGGCAGTAACTTAGTTTTTATTATATTAAATATTTATAGTTAATTATTATAATGGTGAAATGTAAAACTCATTTTATATAATTTAATGTAACAATATTAATGATTTAATAAAATAGGAAACAGTTGAAATCCCCAATATATCCTTGATTAAAATTTACTAATAATGGAATCACACACTTTTGCAAATGGCAGATTGGTATTGCTAGGTGAATTGGAATGAATAAATAACATTTTGCACAATAATATAAAAATCTTATTGCTCCTGGCCACCTAAAAACCCGATAATATTTATGGTTATCAATTGGTTCTATAAATAGCACTTTAACGGATAATACCTTGAACCGATTTCAGTGGCGCAATGGTAGTCTGTTGCACTGCTAACCTTTTGAGCCCAGGTTCGATTCCACCTTGGTGCAAATTTTTTTGTTTTATTTTTTTAAAATATTATGTATAATTTGCAAATAATATCAACTATTTTGATTAATTCAATAATCTAATTTATAAAAATAACCATTAATTTTAAAATTTTATATGAATATCATTAATTATATATATAATTATATTTTCATTTGTTGGTTCAGGATTAAAATTTTATATTACAGTTTACTCATAAATAATTCAATGCATATATTAAATTATAATAAAAAGTACTATTACAGTATAATATATTTAAATCAACAAAATTTTAATTTATTAATCAAATTAGTGATAATGATAATCTATAAAAAAGCAATCAAAACATAAATATAAATTACAATATGTATGTGAACATTGCATAAATGCAGGTGATATGCAATAATTGCATTTATTTGTACTGCAATTAAAAAATATATCATTAATTGTTTCCTTATTAGGTGGAAGTTTATTATTATACAAACAGTTCCAGCTCACTTTAAGAAAATCTGCTAATTTATCAGATGAAAATTGATTAAAAATCACAGACCATAATTGTGTTATAAAATTTCTATCGTGTAAACAAATGTCATAATTTTCCAATATAATATGCCATTGCATTTTTTTACCAAACAATTTAATATAGCGAAATAAACCCTTATCACATGGTTGTAATTTGTCAGTGGTTTTGGGAGGTATAACTAATCTCGCTAATTGTTTATAATTATATTGGTCATCAAAAATAAATAATTGATTATCCTGTTGACTTTTAAACGAATCCAACAATAATAGACATTTTGCCGGCATATCTTTTTGAAACACGTCTTGAAACCTAAAATATAAAATTAAATTTATAGAATTATCAATGTATTTTTTATTTATTATTACATTTTAAATTATTTATTATATTGCCCTGTTACTGTGTATATAAAAATAACTTGATACTTTTAATTTAGCTGTAGAACAGGGATGTTCCTTGCGACTTATACTATTCATGTAATTATTTTTCATAAGTTAATGTATGTTTAGTAAATAATACTGTGGTAAATTTAATATAAAAATTATTACCAAGATTTGATATGAGGTTTATGTAACTTTCCGGAAGTACTGCAAACTAATTCGATATTTTGTCGGGGTAATAAATTCTTGAAAACAATAGGTCCGAATTTATTATTACTTTCCTGAAGACATATCAATATTTTTTGATAAAATGTGCCGTCACTGCAAAATACTGGCATTAATGTATAACTATGTGTCATATCATTAATAGTTTTTGCTTGTAAAGCAGTACACTTTTCACCCTGATAACTTAGGGTTCGTAATGACTGCATTTCATAATTAATCGATGTTTGGTCAATATTACAAATTTCACTAAAAAATTAAATTAATAATTAATATTTTATGTCTAAAAATAGCATGTAAAATATATGAACATAGTGCATACCTCGTAGAATAATTTAACTTCTTGACATTAAATTCTTCTCTAAAATCATTAATGGTTTTTTGAATTACATTAGTATTTTCGACAGACTTTGTGCCAACGATATTAACCACTTTACGTGATTTTATTTTAAATTTACGTTTAAAATTTGCAATCCATGAACTGGATGCAGTAAATTTAAATTTATTTTCATCACTTAAATTGTTGTTAATTTCAAATAAGCATTCACACGCCCACCTGCCCAGGTCAATATCATGGACAGGTAGGAACTTTTCCCTTGCGTTACGAAATTTAGTAATTGTATAATCACTAATTTGGTCCATTTTTTGTGTAACATTACCATGTTGATTAACATATTCCCGGTATTTATGAATATCACCTAAACCCTCGATATATATGGGATCGTATTGACGCAACTCCACGATCAGGGTATTTATCGTTATATTCAACAATCTTACGCATTTTGTCCAAACTTATTGTCCCTTTCCTAAAAATAATTTATAAAAAGACTGGTTATTTAATATTTTATTTATTAAAAATTTAATTGTAATATGCTATTTTTTAAAATATTAAACTTATAATGATTACCGTTGAGGTTTATCCAAATTAAATTCATCATCTGTTTCGCTATTGTCTTCATCATTATAATCCTGATCAATTTGATCGTCACAATCCATGTCACTTTCGTCATTAAAATCGAGTGAATTATCAATATTTTCATCATTAATGGCAATAATAATATTATATAATATATCGTATAAATTATTTGAAACACTTAATTCATACTCNACTTACTAAACTAATACTCAACATGACCATGATTATTATTATAAAATTACAGTAATTTCTCCAGAATTTGAATGCAATTTAAAATTAATTAAAACCAATACTAAATAAAATTAAAATACAGCTTGTACAAATGGTTAAATATTTTTATAATAATAATATTATTATATTTCTATGAGTTTTAAAAATAACACGAATAATAAACTTTAAATCTAATAAATAATATAAAGAAATAATATTTTAAATCACTGTAAACTAACCATATTCACTAGCCTCATAGCATCGAAAATAATTATCCGGAAACAATTTAATTTAATACCAATTTTTTGTTTGCTGACAAAATATACAATTAAAATATTTATACGCTTTAAACGACTCGCTATTAACACTGGAAGTCATGTATAAAATAAACGCAAATAATGATAACATGTATTGCACATTAAACCCAAGTATTAAATAATTTATAAAATCAACTTGTTTAAATAAAAATACAAATAATGAGCTCACGGCTACCGTTCCCAAACCAAACCATATTATTAACAAATATTTCGACCAATACTGTGTATTATAGTCATTGATCTCATGATAAATAGCATTCAATGAATGGATTGTTTGTCCTATATATCCCATGTTAAGTCTATGGCAATGTTTAATATTGTTCATTAATTGTATATTAATTGAATGTAAATTTAATTTCAAATAATAACATAATAAATAAAGGTATACAAATAGCCATAAACTTAATCCAAATGTGTAATAACATGATAGAGTGGACAGTAGGCTATGGGGTAAGCCATATATCAGAGTTTCATATATTGTACAATTTAAAGTGTATGGAATTATAAATGCAAATAACGTCATTGGAAATATGTACTTCGTGATAAAGTTAGCCATTTTAAATAATAATTTGCACAATTTTGCTAATTTTATAAATATTTTCTTATCATAACATTTAGCATTAATATTATTTGTATTATACGAAAGTATATTAAAAAGTTCCATAAACTTAATATTAGAATTTCCCATAGAGTTAACATAGAATATTACACGTAATGATAAGTCTATAATTAGCCAGACCCATATTGCCATATTTAAATGCATGGTCAGTCCCATTACGTACGTAAAGTCACCCATTACTACATGTAGCCAACGATTATTTTTATTAATTAATAAAAGACTTGTATTTCGTATTAGCATGGTGACTGTTGTAATTATAATTAGTAAAGGGTTATGAATTGCGTCCGGCTTATTTATTGATGATTTAGCTTGCTGAATTAAACCAATGGTAAATAATTTTGTAGCAACACTATGAGTCAATAAATGATCAGGTAGCAAAGACATTTTGTACTATAATGAATGTGGTTTATAACAATTAAGTATATTTTTGTTATATTTATAAATAATGGTTTTGTTACTATGGCAAAAATTATTTTATAAATGTCAGTGCATTATATTAATTTAATTACAAATGTTTTTTATGTAATTTATTTACACATAAAAAGTAATTAGCATTTATACCAAAATATACATTACATATAAATATTTATTACGATTTTGTAGCAATAAATAAAAAAATAATATAGAATTCTATTAAAATGTAATTTTGAATAAGGACATTTAGATATTGTTCATTCATCGAGAATAAAAATATATAAATAAAAAAATTTCTATAATATCTTAATTTTAAAAAATAATTAAAATTTAATTTAAAAAACTGTATACAATAATTAATTAATTAAACAAATTTTTATGTAAAATATTAATTAAGTGCAAATTTAAAATCACTTTATTTTTATACGGAAAATTTTAATGTTA